CCTGGTACCCTAAGGCTATGGAGAATTTAAAATGTAATTAGTTCCAACTCAAATGTGGAATTGGTGTAAAATGTACACCAGATTTTGAGTCCTTAATAAAAAAAAAAAGAATGTAAAAAGCTTCATTAATTTTTAAAATTGATTATACCTTAAAATATTTTAGATATCTTGGGATAAAATTGATTTCACTAGTTTTTCTTTTCCAATGTAGCCACTAGAAAATTTAAAGTTACATATATAGCTTGTGTATGTGGTTTGTGCCATATTTCTATTGCACAGCTCTGATCTTGAATACATAGGGATATCGGAACCGTGGAAGAAACCTTTTAGCATGTGGAAGAATTGATGAGACACCAAGAAGATAAAGGGTGTGGAAGCATGGAACTAGCCATCTAGATTTCTAGGTTTAATATGAATGTGCAAACACATTCAGCCAATGTAGCTTCCATCCCACCATCAGCTTAATATTCCCAGATTTACCAAGATACATTTGAAAAATAACACTGTGCAAGTTAAGGTACAAACTGTGATGATCTGATACACACATTATGAAATATATTACCCCAATAGGATTAGTTAAGACCTCTATCCCTCATATAATTACTGTGTGTGTGTGTGTGTATGTGTTTGTGATGAGAACATTTAGGATCTACTACTATCTTAGCAACTTTCAAATATTTGCTACAGTACTGTTAACTATAGTCACCATACTGTACATTGGAGCTCCAGAACTCATTCATCTTATAACTGGAAGTTTGTATACTTTGATAATCATTTCCCATTTCTCCCATCTCCTAGCCCTGGCAACCACCAATTTGTTTCTATTTGTTTGGATTTTTTGGATTCCACATATAAGAGAGATCATACAGTATTTGTCTTTTCTGTCTGACTTATCTCATTTAGCATAATTCCCTCAAGATCCACCCATCCAGGTTGTTGCAAATGTCAGGATTTCCTTCTTTCTCAAGACTGAATAATATTCCATTGTGTATATCCACTCTGGGCATGACCAACACTCTGGGCATGATCAACCCTTCCTATTGCCCTTTAGGGAACACCTAACTTCTTTCCTTTGGTTCTCAAGTCTTCCCAGCTTGGACCCAAGCCACCCCCTATTAATCATTTTACCCCAGTATTGCTGCAATTATCACATTCTTGCATATTTCCTCAACTCTGCAGCATTGACTGTGACTTACCCTCTCCTTGATGTTTTCTCTTACGCAGTGATAACATTGAACCAACTTCTTCTCATCTTTCAGGCCTCCTTTTTTCCCAGAGACTGTCCTTGTCCCCACTGTCCCTCCTGTTCAGAAAAGAACCCCATCATTCACCAACTTCTTTCACCAGTTCCTCAGTTTCTAGTCCTTATGCTCCTGTTACAAGTAAGTGGTAAATGCCTTTACTCCCTGCAAGGCTATAAAACCCACACAGGATCCTCAGCCCCCAGCACAGGGTCTAATATAAACAAACAAATACACACATACACAGTCTTTATCTGTCTTCTTTATCCTGTTATTGATAGATGAACACAGATTGTCTATATCTTCTCTGTGGTAAAAAAAAAAAAAATTCTTCAATAAACGTGGGAGTGCACATAACTCTTTGAGGTCGTATTTTTATTTTTATTTTTTGGCTATATACCCAGAAGTGGGACTGCTGTATCTTATGGTAGTTCTACTTTAATATTTTTGAGGAATTTCCATACTGTTTTTCATAGTGTCTGTACCAGTTTCCATACCTATCAGAAATGTACAGGGTTCTCTTCTCCATATTCTTGCCAGGACTCATTATCACTTGTCTTTTTGATACTAGCTATTCCATAGACTGTGAGGTGAAATCTCATTGTGGTTTTGATTTGAATTTTCCTGATGATTAGTGATGTTGAGCATCTCTTTTCAAGTATTGGTTGGCCATTTGTTCGTCTTTTTTGAGAGAATATCTATTCAGTGCCTCCGCCCAATTTTTAATCAAGTTGTTTTTTGCAATTGAGTGGCATACATCCCTTAAATATTTTGGATATTAACCCCTTACATAGATGGTTTGCAAATATTTTTCTCATTCCATACATTGCCTTCTCATTTTGCTCTCCATTAGATTCTTTTGTGGTGTTTAAGAAAAATGTTATTTAATAAAACTCTTGATCCCATTTTGACCTCTAGCTACTACATCATTTCCTTTGTTTGATTTATTACCAAACTCTTCAAAATAATTTTCTCTTAAATTTCTATCCTCTCATTCACTCTTGAATCAGGTTTTTGCCTCTTCTTCTCTCCTGAAATTGCTCTAAGAAAGGTCTTCAAAGAATTTAAAGACTTACCACATGCTAAATCATTGGCTATTTCTTATTTTTATTTAGCTGGATTTTTAGATATAATTGACTCATTCTTTTTAGGACATAGTATTACTTAGTTTTCTCCTAACTTTCTTGTCACTTCTTATTAGTTTTATACACTGGTTTCTCATTTCATTGATCTTTGGATTTTCACACTCCATATGTAAAGATTAATCCCAGAAATTTCATCTCTTATTTCCATAGTGATCTCGTTCAGTCTTATAGCTTTAAATGGCATCTAGAAGTTGATGATTCCAAGTTTTTATCTCTAGTCTGAATCCTCTCTCTTTAACATTAAACAAACATCTAACAGCCTAATCACTATTTCCAATTAAATATATAACTAAATATATCAAAACTGAGGTTCTGACATGAACACTCTCACCAAACTTGCACCTCCTACAGTTTTCCCAACTCATTTAATGGCAACTGTATTTTTACAATTACCCAAACACAAAAACTTAGTTCATCCCTGGTGTGCAAGGATGCAAGTTACATCCTCACTTTCTGTTCCCAGCAAATCATTTGCTAGGTAGACTTCCAAGCACATCAAGAATTTGAATATTTCTTATCATACCCACTTTTACCACCAAGTAGAGGAAGACTCTCAGGGGTATCAGAATGATAGAAATTAAGAGAAGAAAGAAGATTTTAAAATAGGAGGACCACCTTAAAATAGTTGGAGGATATATGGATAAAAATGAAATTCCCATTTGGAGGACCACATAATACAGATCATAGTTACAATTTTATATTTATTTAATTATAATATATTATCATCATTTACAGATGAGCAAACTGAGAGCTAGTTTAAGAACTTGTCCAAGAATACATGAATCAACAGCAAACCTGCTAGAATAACAATCAGAAATGCCTTTTTCCAGAAATCTCAATGTTTTCCAGAAATGAAATTCAAAAGTATAAAATTCAAAATAAAATGATGCCTGCTTAAGACAGACAAGAAATAAGTTGGGATGTCTAGGTTAAATGTTTTATTATTTTCCAACATTTGTTAATGAATACATAGTCTGGTTACCAGCATATTACAGGTTTGAGGAGACACAAAGGAAAAGAATACAGTCTTCTCAAGCCCTCACATTTCACTTGAAATCTAGTGGTGGCCCTAAGAGAGAAGAAATTATAGCTGCTGTCAACAAACTGGTGCACTGTCTTTCCCAGCAAATGTTGTTGGCATTCTGAGCGTCTTTTCAGACCCATCAAAAGACAATTTTTCTTCTATCTGATTTCTCCCATGCAAACACAGATTCCACAGAGGACTTGAAGTTACTGGTTTATTGTTGTTGTTGGTTTTTTTTTTTTTCCCTCCACCAATTTATATGGTAAAGTATGCAGAGATTTCTTATCAGAAGTTTTGGGTTTACCCTCTAGGCACTTAATTCTAAAAAACTGTGTTGCTACCACCATCCTCCAAATCCCTTTCCTAGAAGATTTAATAAATCATGAATTATTTTGTCTCATTTCTTATTGCATTCAACAATTACAACTAGTTCTCCATCCCTGGAGCTCTTTATGCATTTCTTTCTTCTCTTTACAGGTTCTTGAATTTGATCCTGCTATCTGATTGTTGATCCTGCAGAAGATCTTCTTGCCTCTACCTTACACATAGTACTTGAATTAAACATAGTTTTTATTTGTTTGTTTTTGTTTTTTAGGTACATATCACTTAAATCTCGAGTGGCAATATGATGCCTGCCTGATACAAGTTGTTTATTATAAGTAAATATTATTGCGAGGTTCACTAGATCTCCAGTGGGGGAAAATTTTTTTTAAAAAACAGTAATCTTGGGTCAGTTGTTAAGTTATTGGAAAAAAAAAAAACAGTAACAAAAATGTTTGGGACCTTGGTAAAATATTGATAAATGGTTGATTGATCCCTTGTTTTTTAGTTGGAAAAGAAATTCTAGTCTCTATGTTTTTCCTTAACTTTTATCATTACAGAGACTATTTATGCTGTCTAGTATTTACACTGAGAATGAAATAACAGATACTCATGCATTTTTCCATCCCGTTCAGAACTAAGTATGAAACTAATGTTTTGAGTCTAGATTCTAGCCAAGCTAATTTTGAGTCTAGATACTAGCCAAAGTTCAGATTGTATTTGAACCCAGTTTAGTAGTGTTAGTATTACATAGTATCCAATTAATGTGCCTTCTTGAATGAACAGAACTTGGAGAGGAGAAATAAATAGCCAATGAGTATTGTCATGCTGTACTGTAGCTTTTGCAAGCATCTTGTATTGAGGTTTCCTGTTTCTTAATGTCAATAACCTACTGCTGACAGACAATTGATAAGTCTATGGGTATTAATTTTCATCAATAAAATTTCTAATAAGGTCATGATTAAGTTGGTAAATATTTAATTGTGTAAGTTTAGGTAAACCATGACAGATCAAAAGTGGTTCTACATTGAAGCAAAGTTGATATACATATGATAGGAAATTCACACCAGATATGTCTCTATCATAAAACCTCTAATTTGAAAATATAAGAAATTTCATACCTTATTTCACTGAATACATAGTATCTACAGAGGAAAGTATCAATATTGGCATCTGTGTTTATTTATTACAGATTCTAATTATAGCCCTATACCTTTCTGCCCTGGTGTACAAACTTCTTTGATCACAGGTACATCTTCCTTTTCAAGATTAATCTTCATCAAGTAAGCTCTCAGTGCAGCAAATTTTATTTGGTGAGAGACATATATCAATTTGTTTTTCATCTTTAAAGCAGCGTCTTCTACAGTAACCGAACTTTTTTGTGCACCGATCAGGATCCACCAAGGCACATGTGGCTATAGTAAAAGAAGAGTAACTGACATTACTGATTTCTTACTCAAGAACATATTATTTCTGATTACAAAAAGTACTATGTATACATTGTAACAAACTTAGAAAATGCTAAAAAATAAAAAGACACTAAAATATTACATATTCCCTGTAAATGCAAAGTTTAAACATGTTTTAAATTAATATATATAACATTTTTATGCCATAAATTATTCTCCTCAACAAGATTCATAACTTTTTTAAAAGCTACATAATATTCCCTTGAAATATATGACAGTTCATCCAATTTTTCCATTAGGTTATATTAAAATTTTAATATTTTAGGATTATAATAAGAAAATTTATAGTATACATTTTAATATTTACATGAGACATATTTAGGATAGCTGTGGAAGAGTTAGTTCCCAGGGTTATTAATTTATATATTGCACCAGCAATATATGTAGATTTTGCCTCCAAATAAAATGGTGTCTACTGCAATTTTAATTTTTATGCTGTTAGTAATTTTTCCTTTTTCTTTATTTAATTGTTCATATGCTTTGTTTATTATGTTATTATATAAGTTTTTAAAATAATTCATAAGTTCACTTTAAAATTTTTTAAAGGCTTTATTTTTAGAGCAGTTTTAGGTTCACAAAATAATTAAAAGAAAGGTATAGAGATTTCCTATATATTTCCTATATATTCCCTGCCCCTAAATATGCATAACCTTTCCCATTATCAACATCATCCACCAGAAGGGTATGTTTTTTTACGAAGGATAAACCTATATTGACACATCAGAACCACCCAAAGTCCATAGTTTTCCCTATCATTCATTCTTCATGTTGTACATTCTATGGGTTTGGGCAAATGTGCAATTAAATATATCTATTATTATAATGTCATACAAAGTATTTTCATTGCCCTAAAAATCATCTGAACTCTTCTTATTCATCTCTGCCCTCACTTCTCTGGCAACTATTGTCTTTTTTTATTGCCTTCATAATTTTGTCTTTGCAAGAATGTCATATAGCTAGAATCATATCATACACAGCGTTTTTAGACTGGCTTCTTTAACTTAGTGATATGAATTTAAGGTGCTTACATGTCTTTTCATGATTTGATAGCTCATTTCTTTTTAGCATTAATTAACTTTCCATTGTCTGGATATAACACAGTTGTTTTGTCTACCTACTGAAAAATATCTTGGGTGTTTTCAAGTCTGGAAATTAAGAATAAAGCTGTTTATAAATGTTCACGTGCAGCTTTTGTGTGGGCAAAAGTTTTCAGTTGCTTTGGGTAAATACCAAGGAGCATAATTGCTGTATGATATGGTACTATTATGGTTAGGGTTTTTTAAAATATTTTATTTATTTGATAAAAGAGAGATCAAGAGAGCACAAGCAGGGGGAGGGGCAGAGGGAGAGGGAGAAGGAGGCTCCCTGCTGAACAGGAAGCCCCATGAGGAGCTCTATCCCAGGACCCCTGGATTATCACCTGAGCTGAAGGCAGAACATTAACCAACTGAGCCATCCAGGTACCCCCAGTATGTTTAGTTTTTTAAGAAACTGCCAAACTATGTTCCAAAGTGGCTGTACCATTTTGCATTCCCACCAGCAGTATATGAGGGTTCCTGTTGCTCCATATACTCACCACTGTTAGGTTTTGCCAGTATTCCAAATTTTAGCTGTTTTAGTAGGTATGAAATGTTATGTCACTTTAATTTGCATTTCTCTGATGGCATATAACATGGAGCATCCTTTCTTATGCTTACTTGCTATTTGTATAATTTCTTTGGTGAGATGTCTTTTAAGGTCTTTGGCCCTTTTGTTTTTATTTTCTTTTGTTTTCTTATTGTTGAGTTTCAAAAGTTTTCTGTATGTTTTGGATAATGGTCCTTTATCACATGTGTCTATTGCAAATATTTCTCCCAGTTTGTGGCTTGTCATATCCTTATCTTGTCATCATATTTCTCAGGGCAGAAGTTTTTAGTTTTAATGAAGTCCAGCTTATCAATTCTTTCTTTCATGGATTGTGCCTTTGGTGCTATATCCAGAAAGTCATTGCTAACCCAAGGATATCTAGGTTTTCTTCTATGATATGTTCTAGGAGTTTTATAATTTTGCATTTTGTGTCTGGATCTATGAGCCATTTCAAGTCTGTTTTTTGTGAAGGGTGTGAGGTCTGTGTCTAGATTCACTTTTTTCACATGTGGATGTCCAGTTGTTACAACATCCTTTGTTCAAGAAACTATCTTTCCTTCACCATATTGCCTTTGCTCCTTTGATAAATATCAGTTGCCTATATTTATAGGGATGTATTTCTGAGATCTCTGTCTTGTTCCATTTATCTATTTGTTTACTCTTTTACCAATACCGCATTATTCTTTTTAGATATAAAAATATAATGTTATGAATTTTCCTATAAACACTACTGTAGCTGTGTTCCATGAGCTTTGTGTCATCTCATTTTTATTACCATTCGGATGAAGATATTTTTTAATACTCATAGATATTTCTTCTTTGAATTAGGTTGTTTCACTAATTTTCATGTTTATATATTTTTTATTCTTAGATTTATGTTGTTTATTTTTCTGTTTCCTGTGTAACTGAAGAAGGTGCATTAACATCACCCATTATTATGGTGTTTTCTACTTTTTTTGTCCTTCTATCTTTTTTCACATAGTTTAAGACTAAGTTATTTGTTGCATTAAATTTATGGCTGCAATATTATCCTGTTGAATTGAATCTTTTATTACTATAAATAATCATTCTTTGTCTCTAATAATGCATTTTTTCTTACTGACAACCTCATATAATATTAATATAGCTATTTCACCATGCTTTTGTTGTGTTTTTATATCTTTTTCTATCCTTTAGATTTTATATTTTCTATTTTTTCATATGTTAGATATTTCTCATATAAACTACTTGCTACATTCAAAACCATATTCACTACATTCAAAAAAGTCACTCTTTTTTTTAACTTTACACTAATATTTATAATAGTAATATGGATCGGATGAAATATATCATGTTATTTTTGCCTATTTGCTTTTCTATATGCTGGTTATTCTTTTATAATTCCACCATCCCATTTATTATTGTGTAGTTATATTATCTTCTACTCTTCTTTTACTATTTATGCCAGAAGTTTCAACTTACCAGTCTTATCCAAAAAATCATTGCTTGTTTTTTGTTGTTCTTTTTTACTCTGTGTGTTTCTGAGCTTCCATATAAAAAATTATTCTCTTTCTGGCCAAACAATCTTTTAAGAATTTCCCTTAATACTGGAGTTCTGATGTTGAATTCTCTCTCTATTTTTGTTTGAGAATATCCTTATGTTATCTTCACTCCTAAAAGGTATTTTCATTTGATACAGAATTCTAGATCATAGTTGTTTTCTTTCAGGACTCTGAAGAAATCACTACCTTGTCTTCTGACTTCTATCTTTGTGGTTTTTTTTTTTTGAGAAGTCAACTTTCAGTTTAATATCTGACCCTTTAAAAGTGATATGATGTTTTCTTCAACTTTTGTTTTTGCTTTATTGTTTGAGGGTTTTTTTTTTCAACAGTTTGTTATGCTTTCCTTTCCTTCCTTCTTTCCAATCTTCTTTCCTTCCTTCCCTCTTTCTTACCTTCCCCCTGTTTTCCTTCATCCTTCCTTCCCTCTTTCACCTTTTTCCCTATTTTCAACCTCTAATTTTCTCTTGTTTCTTTCCAGATATTTTCTTCTGGTTCATCTTTCATCATCATTAAATATCTTACCAACTTTGTAAAAATGACTATTTAATGCATTCATTATGTATTTAATATTGGTTCAAAATTTTTTTGGTTGTAGCATTTTATTTTTCTTCTTTGTTGTAGTCTTCACCTCTATGCCAAGTTTTTACTTTTGTTTTTCTTTATTTAAACAAGTTAAGCACAGTTATTTTAAAGTCTAGGTCTTGTAACTTCATTATCTGGATCCCTTGTTAATCTCTTCTCTTGAATGCTGGTTTTGATTTTTGATAGGATAGTTATATTTTCATTTGTTCCTGATTACTTTTGTCACATACATTTTTAACGAAAGATTGAGGAAATACCTTGAAGTCTGGAATGATGTTCTCTTTCTCCAGAATGATTTATTACTGTTCCTTGCTGGTGCCTAGGACTACCAACCAACATAACTGGATAATCTTAAAACATTTTTGAACTTGAGATAATGTAAAACTGGCTGTTAGTTCCTGGGACGACTGGAAAGCTAGACTAATGTCCTTTGAACTTAGACCTAGTTCATAGTTTTTTTGGATCCTCAGCCAAAGCACACCAGTATTTCCATAGTTCTCCTTCCTTTGTGGGTTCTCAATTACAATTTTTGCCCCAATTGTAGCATAAAACTCTCAAATTTCTGCTTTTCAACTTTTTTCCTGTGTCTTTATGAGTGATCAGATGCTTCTAGAGAGAAGAGCTGCCTCAGAGATTGATCTCAACGTGATCTTTCCACTGTAACTTTTAATTGACCTGTTTACTCTTCAATGCCTTTAAGCAATTGTTTTGTATTTCTTGTTTTGTTTTGTTTTGTTTCTGCATCTATCCCCCTCAGTGCATGGGAGAGGCTATATGAAAAACTTTTATAATTTTATAGTATGTTTTAACATCAGGTTGTGAAACAGACTACTATAATTTTATATTGTAAAGTTTTAACTTCAAGTAGAGCAAACAAATCACTAATTTTGCAAAATCTTTATATGGTACGAGTTGATAGTTTTTCTAACTGCAGAGTGAAGATGAGTTTACAGCCATGGACTTTAAGCTTGAATTTTAATGCTGTTATTTGCTAGCTATGTAATTTTGGGTAAGCCCAATGAGTCTTCATTGCTTCAACTGTAAAATGGAGAAAATGCTATCTCATTCACAGAGTCTCCATGAAACATGATGAGTTAACACATATACTGGTGTACAACAGTGCCTGGAACATAATTCTCTCTCAGAGATTAAGAACTGATACTAATTAGTGTTGAACAAGAACGTAGTTGAAATTAAATCATTATTGACTACAACTTTTAGACCAGGTGGTAGGCTTTCTCTGGACGTAAAGCAAAACATTGAGCAACAGTGAGAGCCAGAGTGAGAGTAAGTGCGACAGATAATTAAGTTACCATGATAGAGACATATATTAGGTTCAATGCGTGAACAGAGAAGTGTTTGCTTATATTCATGGTGTTGTATCATGGAAGAGTGCTATGAAAATTTAACCTTAAAAAATGAGTAAGGGTTATTGAAATGCACAGGAGGAGTATAAAAAGAACATGAAAATAGTGTGATTTTCATTCTAGAGTTGAAAGAGCATATTATACATTCAAGTTCAAAAACTAATAATAACACAAATAGATTTCCTTTGTTGAAAACCTACTGTGTGTCATGTATTGTTTTAAATATTTTGCATACATTATCTCATTTAACTGCCATAAAACTTTGAGGTTGCTGCTGTTCAGATAAAAAACCTGAGGCTTTGAGTGACCATATAATTTGCTCAAGTTTGCAAAACTAATACATGCTTAAGGGTTCAATCTTAAATTGTTCCAAACCAGAATTTGCATTTCAAATATGTAATTCATGGCCTCTACATTGAAAAAGTTGGAAACTGACATAAGATAAACATTCAAAATATTGACATATGACAATCACTCAAAATACTGTCTCAAATTAGATATTGTTTCTGGTAGCTGGCTGTATTTAAGTATTTTATGACTATGGGGGAACCTGAAGATTTGAAAATTAGAAGTTGAATACTGAATGATGAAATAGAATTCTATTAAGATGAATATGTTTACCCATACAAAGATTCATTAGTAATAGATACTTATTATACTATATATAGGCTTAATAAATGGGATTACATGCTGCAACCTGAACGTAGGAAAAATTTTATCTTAGACAATTTTAAATAAAATAATTTAGCTCCTCTATATGGAATTGTCAATTCCCTTGATTTTGATGTCTTATCTGAAAATTGGATGATAACTGTGAATTTAAAGTGACTTTCTGTTCCCCATGTCTTCCCAACATCTTATTCAGAGCTTCAAATTAAATCCTTTTTTTTTTTTTTCTTTTCTATTTCTCAAACATGTTAGTCTGGCAAGGGTTGCATTTGTCTCTTATCTCATGGCTGGCACCTGGATCTCTAATATTGAAGATACTTCTTATCAATTAATAGTACCATCATGTGAAAGTCATAAAATGTTCTAAAATATTAGTATTTGTGCTCTATTTTTCCTTAGCTTATTGAAGAATATTGAAGAAGGTATAATTCTTTAAGTTAGGTGGATGAAAATACAAAAAATATTAAGACAAATTTGCAAGTTACCTTAATTAGTACAAATTAATTAATACAAACAAATCATTGCCATAATGGAAGCACTTACATGGTATTCATTTTTCATACAACATCTTTCTGGACTGGTTGAGAAGTTACTTAGGTAGTCAGTGAAATCCTGGCCAGTTGGAAAATGTTATTTTTATAAACTCCACTTTTCTCACAACATTTTATTATAATTTTCATGTAACCAAATTGACTTGGTTTTAAATTTAATAAAATCTAGAGCACCCGGACTGATATGGTCTTCCCACCAACATTTCAACACAGGTGAATGTCTTTCCCCCACTATTTTAGACTCAGACTCCCATGCACATGCAATATATCATAAAGTTTCCAAGGTCACCATGTTTGTGCCATTTAAGGTCCATTCTAAGACATCTTAACAACTGACTATACTAAGACAGTATCTTGTATTCCTTCTCAACTACATTGTCTCCTCTTTTTCTGTTTTATACTTCTACTTATTTTCCCATTTCTTGAAATACTGTAATATGATATTGAATGTGATAAAGATTTTGCTTACATTATCTCTGAGTCTTTGCAAAACCTTACAAAATTACCTTTCCATTGTACAGTTAAAAGAATTAAAGCTTCTCCACAAATACAAAGGAACCTCAGTTCCTTAATATAAACCCTGATCTATTTGATGACAAGTTCACTCTGTAAACCACTATATTGTGCTGTTTTCACTATCTATGGATTATTTTATGCCTATATTAAAATACTGTCTAATATACTGTTCATTCTGTCATGTTTTAACCATTGTCAGTATTGTTCTTTATCAATTTTCTACATCTCGCCCTCCAGCATGGTACCCCTCTGCTTGGATCACTCATCAAACATCTTCCACTTAGACCGAATATTTTTTATTGTTTCTTTAATGACTTTGGGGTTCGACCAATAACCAAACCATGCCATTGGGCAACTGATATGTACTACTCTATGAACACCTTCAAAGCCACTCACTCTGACACTTTGTATCACCCTTCCTGTTTCTTTGGTCCCATAAAGGCCAAATATAGGGCATTCTGTCCATTTCAGTACACATTATAACTTAGTATCTGTTTGAATGATCAAAAGGTAAAGGAAAGTTTGTGGTCATATTCATACACTGTCTTCATTACATTATTTAAAATTTTCTGCAATGCTTGGCAAATGGTATAGTCACTACACATCTGAAGCACACCCATATTCCCATGTGATCTCAATGCTTTTGACCAAATAATCTATTCATCTTGGACTTTAGCCTCAGTGCCTTCTATAGAAATCATGATGAAATAGAGCAAATATGCTAGGATCCTGTATTACAATATTTATATTCCACTTATCACACACAGTATAATAGTTGTGACCTTGGAAAATTCTCTCCTTTGATGTCATTTTCCTCTTGTAGAGAAAGAGGCAAAAGCAGATATCTCAGTTTAATCTGGAGGATCAGATTATATATCTATAAACCTTCTAATTCTATAAACCTTCTATAAATCTTCTAATTCAAGCAATTCATTGATTTTAACTGAGTATACTCAACTAGCTTTTAAGTATGCCTGAAGAATTACTGTGTATTTTTTTTTAAGATTTTATTCATCCATTTGACAGACAGAGATCATGAGTAGGCAGAGAGGCAGGCAGAGAGAGAGAAAAAGGGAAGCAGGCTCCCTGCCGAGCAGAAAGCCCGATGCAGGGCCCGATCCCAGGACCCTGGGATCATGACCTAAGCCGAAGGCAGAGGCTTTAACCCACTGTGCCACCCAGGTACCCCTACTGTGTCTTTCTTTATTACTGTTTCCTTAGTGCCCAGGATTGTGCTCAGTAGATCATTAGCCATTCAGTTTCACATGGTTATTGATTGACATACTAGCACCATGGGCTTCAGCATCCTCCCTAATCATATTTGAGGTCCTCACTTCCTCAGTTCCCCTTCATTATGAATAACAACTATAACAGCTGGGGCATCTGGGTGGAGCAGTCAGTTAAGTCTGACTAGTGGTTTCAGTCCCGGTCATGATCTCAGGGTAGTCATCACAGAGTTGCTTAAGATTTTCTCTCCCTCTCCCACTGACACCCTCCCCGCACACCCCCCCACATGTATGCTGTCTCTCTGTCTCTGTCTCTAAAAAAAATAAGCCTTTAAAAAATAATAATCATAATAGCCATAACATCAGCAACTATAGTAATTATAATAGTACCTAAATTGGTAGACTAATTTTCAGTTTGTAGGGCAACTTACTGTTACATTATTACACAAAATCCTAACTGCAGTCTTTTGAGGTGCATATAATTAGCAAGCACAATATTTTACATCAGACTTTTTATTTTTTTTAAATTGTGGTTGTTATTGATTCCCTTGTATTTTCTTTTTTTGTTGTTGTTAAAGACTGGCAAATCACTTAAATTCTCTGAGTGGCAAGGTTCAGAAGCTATTAAGTAGAAAGTTAGTAATAAAATCTAGATCTTCTAAGTTTGAATTCAGTTCTCTTTCTGGCACATGTTGCACCTCTTGAATTCCCAACTTTCTAGGTCCAAATTGGAACAATTTTGAGTACCAATTTATATATTCATTGTTAGAGAGCCTGGATTGCCTCAAAAGATAGAGCTCTCAAAAATATCTTAAAATCACCATCATGTACTTCACTGCAGTACATATTTTTTGAATATTTATTTTTAATTGATTCATAAAGCCATTGCTGAATTTCTTCACTAATGTATTAACTAATTCAACAAGGATTTTTTGCTATACTATTTCTTTAATTGCCATTTTATTCCTACTGTACCTCATTGCCCAGCATATTTTGAGACTATATCCTGG